AAGGGCTGCAGCCCTTTAGAGCAGCAAGGGGGATGTGGTGCTTCTGGTGCTGTCCCTGCATGGAGGAGCAAGGGTTTGCTGGCTGTGGGAACTGTCTGACGTGTTTCCCTCCCTCTACCTCTTCTTTTCTGCTTCCCTCCATCCTTCTTCTGCTCTGCCCCCCAATTTCTGCTCCATCCTATGCTCCTGCCCCCGTTGTGCTAACATACCCTTGGAGGAAAGTTCCTGGAGCCTCCTTCAAATGATCAGGGTTCCAAAAAACATCTGTGGCTGCTCCTTGACAATGTCTCTTAATCCAGGGCCAGCCTAGCAAACCCTTCGTATTACAGGGCTGCCAGGGAAGCAAATGAGATCTAAAAGTTTGGGTTCTTTGTGGAGAAACCTTTGAAGAAGCTCTTAAAAGATGAAAAAAGGTGAGCTGCTGTGTACTCTCTTTTCTGAAGGACAGGGACGGTCTTGTCTACTCACATCTTCTTTCGGTCAAGTAATTTGCAGCAGGACAAAGCTCACCTTAGCCGTGCCTGCTGATGGGGAACGGAGCAAGCTGTCGCCTGGTGCCTTCCCAAACTTGCTCTTCAGAAGCCAAGGTCAGAAGTCAGCTCTGGCAGGGGTGAGTTCCTCTTCCATCCCTCCCAGTGCTGCCCCGAGCCCACCCTGTATTCCCCCAGCACCAGCATGGGCAGGAGGAGCAGGAGATGGCACTCGCCTCCAGAAGGTGCCTCCCTCCTCTCTTTGCTGGGTGCAGCAGATTTCTATAGATCCATCATCTTTCTGTACTCTTGCTGAAAGAACTCTGTGGGCTGGGTGTAATCTGGTAAGAAAAGTGAAAAAAGAAGAACCTTTTCTCCAGGTTGGGTGGCTTCTTGATTTAACATTTCCCGTGTAAAAAGGGAACCAGCTATTTCAAAGGCACCATGCCAGAGAAACCTAGCGCAAGGGAGCCACCGCTCAGCCCTTTCATCCTCCCTTTTAATCTAAAACAGCGTGAAGACAGGAGCTTGCGGAGAGTCCCTGCCTTTGTAACGTGTCTTACCAGTATGCTGTGGCTGGTCCGCACCACGCAGTGGCTGCCAGGGAAAACCAGAGGAGAAACGGCAGAGTTTGAGAAATGCGTGCCCTGACCTGCAAGGCCAAACTTTAGGGTGCATCTTCCCCCAGCCCGATGTGTAACCCATGCGGTGGGGAACCCAAGCTGGTGAGGGTCCTGCAGGACCCCCTGTGAGCAGGAATCTTGGCATTGGGGTTCTCCAGCCCTCCAGGAACATGGTGCAGGACACTCAAAACCATCAGTTCACTTCCAACAGGCTTGCCACAGGCAAACTATAGCAGATCAGGCACTTCAGAGCCAGGCCAGCCTGGGGAGCGACGCACTTTGTAAGGCTCAGGAGCCTGCTCCCTTCCAGACCCTCTATTTCAAGGGATTTCCAGAGGTCACAGGAACTACGGATCACAGCGCTGGGAACCGGCCATCCCTGGCCTCCTGCTTGATGCCACCACATGGCTGCGTCACCCAGGCGAGAGAAGGAAGAACTGAGAAGCAGCAAACTGATTCAGTAAGTAACCTAAGGCATAAATAAATGCAGCTCTGTAGGTGAGATTGCTCCAGGAGGGGAAATCTGGCCTTTATAGAGTAATTAAAAACTCAGTTACTGTTGGGTATCGAGTATCCTGTTGTCACACCCAGCACCACCCGTAGGGAAAATGAAGCCCTATTTTGGCTTTTTCGTCTCTGTTTTTGTCTTCCTTCCCCACCTTCCTCCTGTTTTTGTCCTTAAAGCGTTCCCTTGTTCTCTGCGTTTCATCCTGCCCTGTGGGTCTCAAGTTCAACCCTCCCAACTGGAATTTTTTCCAGTTCCTCCAGACAGTCAGTTCTACGCAAAGCTGAGTCGGTGAATCTCCAGCCCAAATGATATTCCCAGCTTTAATATCAACTTGCAAGAGCTGGACCCAGAGCTATACGCCTAGGTCCCTTTGAAAACAAGTTGGGCAAAAATATTACTCATAAAATAGAGGACATTCATAAGAAAGTTTTCTCCTAGTGTGCAGTAACTCTGCATCCCTGAAATTAGTTCTCAAAAGAAAAATATTTGGCACATATTGAGAATGAAGTTAAAACAAAATAATCTTCTCTGCAATGTGCGCCCGTAAGAGCTAGCTGAAGGTAACCAAAATAGATTAAACAAACAAAATCTCTCTTCCCTGAAGGCTGCTCAGAGAAGGAAGGTGTCACGGACCAGGAGAGGGCATGGAAAAAGTCACCTAGAAAAGATGGACCTGGCAGAGCTTTGCTTATATCCCAAAATGAAGTCTGATGGCATAGGACAGCCTGAACTTGTAGTTTGTACGGAGCAGAAGAGCTCACGTGCATCTCTAAGCTGTTGCACGCTGCCTGCGGGCTCAGGAAGGCACTGGCTGTCCCACGCTAGCCCCAGGCCATGTCTGGACAGCCTGTAAGATCACAGCGAACGGACCTCGGACAGGCCTGCTGACAGCGGCTGGCATCTCTTTTGGCTTGCACCACTTCAAAAGGGATGCACCAAGGATGGAGTGTGGTCAGGCTGTAGTTTTGCTTTTTTCTAAATACATCTTGAGCACAATGCTGGCGTTCCCCATCGTCTTCCCATTCCTCCACACATTGCAAACACCACAGGGGCCACGGCAGGTCCTTGTGCACATCTGTGTTGCTCTTGCTTTTAAATTTTACAGTGCTGTGTCATGAATGGCATCCCTTCCATGGGACTGTTTTCTACTAAGAGGGCAAGGAATCATCCACTTCCCTTTCTCAGTTGGTTCCCAGGGCTAATCTGTAACAACGAAGTGGATCTTGCTGAGTTGCCGTCCTCAGAGTAGAACTGCCATCGCTATAGAGCAGTTCACTTTCAGACAGCAATTGTCCCCAGTCATTACCCACACCGTCCATCTCAAACAATTTGGGTGATTCCTAGACCTGTCTTGCAAACCAACACACAGCACGGCACAAACTGTCTGTGTGTTCAGATAAGCCAAAAGTTCTGCGACTCTATCTGACCTGTGTGGGAAACTTCTCAGGCCTGGCTTTCATTAAAACCAGAAGGTCCTCATTTTCAGGGTTTTTGCTTCTCACACATTACCTAGAAAAAACACAGCCCAGCACCAGGAACAGGAAACTGAAAATAAATACTGCAGGTCTTGGCATTGCAGCTCTGCAAGCAAAACCTAGGTCATTCATTGATCCTCAACCCCTTCCATGACAGTCCAGGATACGTGAATTCAATTACAGCTGTGCAGTTTGAAGTTACTTAAGTGGGAAATGGAGCTGATTGATTACTTGTAAGAAATAAATTGAGGGTTTTCACATCTCTTGCTAAAGCCTGGTCAACAAGTGTTAAGTCTTTATTGATGTATTATCCATATAGTCACCGCTCACGTATCCGCCAGTCTCTGTCTCATACTGTCTCCAACACATCTAACCTTAACTTTCTGCAGATGAAATGCCTGTATGCCAGCACATCGCTGTTTTCAGAAAAGCCAGCTGTTTGAAGGTACCGTCACACTGTGTACAGAAAAAAATGGTCTTGCACTGGTCCAAGCAAACAAAACAGGATTTAGATGTTCGTAAGAGAAGCTGCAATTATCTAAAGAAATTTAGGCAGTCCGACACCTTGGGTAAGTTTTAAGTGTTTCATTAGCTTTTAGCATCCAGAGAAGAAAAAAGTATTTAGCAGGTCTACATAATAACACTCAGTCCTCTTTTAGGATGAAGACTAATTCATAGTTTTTCCACTGCATTATTTGTCCTTAATTGACTCTTCTGAAAGAGAAGACCACGACTGATCAAAAGACACTTCCTTACGGTATATTAGACTTCAATTCCCATAACTATGAATAGGCAGGTTTCACTCGTCCCTGTATTTGGTTCTCTCTCTCTCGCTCTCAAATACTCTCCCCGTATTTGGTCCCTTGTTTTATGTACACACAGAACAGAGAGCACTTTATCACCTACCAGTAGAGAAACACTGTGCCTGTCACAGCTTTAATTATAGCTTATGGAGAGAAAGATGACTTGTGGCACTAAAGAAATCAGAGCAAATATGAGAGGCGAGATTTCCAGTTTTTAGTAACTGGAAGGAATTAAAACTATTGTTTGTCACTTAAATTTGTTCATATCATCATTCTGAACCATGCTTTTGGAGGAAAAAAGCCTTCAAAAGGAGTATTTTGCTTATAACCTAATTTTATTTAGAAAATTCATTTCAAGTTTTTTTTTCATGTTACAGTAAGAACAAGCACCACATTTAAATCATGAGTGAGGTATGGAAGTCTGAGTGAGCTGCTCATTAAACAGCAAGGCATTAGATAGCACCTGTACTCCAGGGCATTTTGATTTTCCCCCAGAGCTTTAGGAAATACCCACAACTGCAGGATGATGGAGCCTATGGAACGGTGGATAGCAAGTTACTAAAAGCCATTTTGCATCCAACTCTGGAATGCAGCAAAGGCAAATCACCTGCCTTGGCCAAACAGCTAGCTCTTGCCACAGGCAGGGCCCACCTGCAGCAGATGTGGCTGATTTAGGGTTACCTAGAGTTTGCAGTTATCCTCCAGGAATTTCCTTCCATGGACCAATTACCCTGAATTCCCAGTATTTCCTACCAACACAGCACAGAGCTACTCCTTTATGTTATTCAGCTGATTACAACTGAACATCCACATCAGGGATGGAACCAAACTGAGGTACGATAAATGGGCAGAAGTGAGAAACAGGTGAGTCAGAGATGGCTCTGTAGCAGGAAAATACAGAGTAGAAGAAACTTTTCTTGCAACAAGCCCACACAGATTTCCACCAAGTCAGATTTACAGCACCATTTTTATCATTAGTAGTTCTTGTCTTCAGCAGCCCTGCTCAGAGTGGTGCCAAGTGAGTCACACTGTCAGCACCTCTGCACTCCCCTCACGACAGAAAGAGCTCCCAGTTCCACAGAGATGTAGGCGCATGAAGTTCTCACTCAGGATTAAGCACCTCACTTTTTATGGTTCTGTACAAATGCAGGGACAGTGAGCGTGCCAGCCTTGACTTCTGCTCGGATTTCAGGTTTGTGCTTTAATGAGAAGACAAGAGCTCGCACCATTCTGCGATACGGTGCACTAATGAGACGGGAAGAGAGATGAAAAGCTTCTCGCTCAATATTTTCAGCCAGTGGGTGATCAATCTGAAAACAGCAAAGTATAAAATTAGATCTTTACATTTAATAAGGAGACCAACTGATTGAAATTGGAGTTTGGTGCTTCTCAGTGTTTCTTCATTAATCAGCTTAGATTCAAGGAAATCTACTTCCCATCACAAGTGTAACAGGAAGAGCAATTTAATTCCACCCTAGCAATTAAGGAACAAGACAACGTGGTCAGTAGCAGGAACATATCCACATCTCCAGCTGGGTGGTAGTACTGCGCCTTCACAACAGGAAACTAATCTGCAACTAGCTTTGGGTATCAAGCTCAACTGCAATTATAAGGTACGTTGTACTGTCTCCATAAAGCTCACTTTTGATCTTGCTGATATAAGGCACCTTGGATACTATTTTAAACTTGATTCCAACAGCAACTCTAAGACACGCCAAACACTTGGCAACTCTGCCTGGTGCTATAAAGGGAAATGTGGGCTCTCAGTGTGTAGAAAGAGGTGTAATTAAGGATGCAGAAAGGGATTTGCTAAATGTTAATTATGTAGTTATTGCTTCAACATGTGCCAAAACCTGTAATTTAGCAGAGCTTAGAAAAAAATCCCCCACCCATCAAGAAATGGTTTTAATTTCACTTCTGGCTTTTGTGATGGGGAATCTCCCATGCTTTGCATGCAGGAGATTCCAGTGTGCCAAGTAGTATTCCTCCAAGTCCTTTGCCCGCTCTGTTTTTGCTACCCATCACTAAATTGCCCCTCAGCTGGGCAGCACTAGAAGCCCCTTAGATCCATTCAGCCCCAGCTTCTCTTCTCCTTTTGTCAGCCTCTCAGGTGTCCCTCCTCCCCATTTGCTGGACCTCTGTGGCACCCCTACCTATATATGCCGTTCCTCGGCTACCGGAAGCTCCACTTGCACATACGGTGGTAGCTGCAAGCTAGAAGAGTATTCTTCCTTGCTGTGCTTCCAGGTGACTCCTGTTCAGAGGTAATTCTGTTTTACCCAATACTACTCATTTTAGGGTGGTACCATAGCCTTTATGTCCCATAGGTTCAGACTTTACTACCAGTCTTGTCACCATGCACAGATGTGCTTTCCAAGAACTAAGCTTGACCCAGCAGCCTGGCAAAGGTGAGCCCCCCCTTTCTGAGGCATTCCT